TGTGGCTGCTGTTCCTGCTGGTATTTGCATGATTAATGAAGCCACGTAATTGATTACATGGCCACGCCCAGGCTGGGCTCAAAAAAAAAAATGAGTAACAGCAACAACAAGAACAGGAAAATGAACGGGAAGAAACAAAGGCAGAGCCAAAGGCAATGGCAATGGCAACTCGAACTTTCGCATGATTTTGTATCATCGAAGGCAAGGCACACAGCTGATTGATGCGTCTGTGGCAGGGACAAAAGCAGCGCCTCATCCACATCAACATCAACATCCACATCCGCATTCCGCCCGACTTCACCCATTCTCATCCCGATTTCCGGCATCATAATGCGACCACGCACGTGCGTTTGGCACATGATTACACAGGCAAAAAATGAACTAAAATAATAAGAATTAAATTAAATAAATATAATTCTCCTAGGAGAAGCTAGTTGACTTTTCTAAATTCTTCAAAAAATGCTCACATATAAACGTCTGAATGCTTATTTCCTACAGCCTGCATATTTATTTAAAGGTAGATTTATGACTTAGGCAACTACCCAAGCTTTTCCCCATTTAACATCATAATTATTATAATTAGGAAGTTGGACTGCTAATATTTGTTTGCTGTGTGTCCTGGCTGATCCCATGTCCTGTTTGGGCCATGTCAGAAAGGCAGGAGGAGCCAAGGCTGGCTGTCATTGACTGCGGATTGGCGTTGTCAACGATGCAGCGGGCCTGATGACAAAGATGATGATGCAGCCGCTTTCAAAAGCTGCAGCAGACAGTTTGGGAAGCAATGGAAGGAGCGGAGTGGGCGGGGGGCGTGGTGCGGTGGCTTTGGGCGGAAGTCGGGCTTTCTCATGGCTGGTTATTTATGCGTAATTTCTATGCACACACGCACAGGCTCTCGGGTTCTCAGTCCCTCTGTCTCTCGGTCTCTTTGGGCCCCTCGTCCTGGCGAGAGGGATTGGCATCCAGGATGGCGGGTGGGCACTTCAGACCCGGGCTCATCGTCCCGGCCAAGTGGTTAGCTTTGGCTTTGTTGCCAGAGTTGGCTGCCTTTTCTGCCGGGCTCCGGTGGTCGGAGCTTTGAGGCACACAATCATCAATCAAAATCAAAAGCCAAAGTACTTTTGACATTAATTTATTCAAAAGGGATACGAGCACTTTTTAACTGCACTAACACACACACACACACTCACACACACAAACGGTGACCGCAGAAAGGACGAGGATATGGACACTGTTTGCGAAATTTAACCACTCTCTCCGCAATTATGACCACTTGGCCGTAATGGTTATTTAATTTCGAATCGATGGCATGCAAATTCCTCTCCATATTCGCCGAAAGTAAAAATATTCTAATTAATATTTATGGACGCGGCGACGGGGCGCTTTGCATAAATCAAAAGCATTTGAATAATAAATACGAATTATGCATTTAATTAAGATTTGCCACAAAAATCCACGCTCGACGCTTCGATGAGTGGAAAGTGCAGGGTAAACAACAATTCAGCGATTCCATTTCCATTCCGCTTTTCCTTTTTCCCCATTGTTTCTATCTGCATGTGTGTGTGTGTGTGTGTTTTCCATCGTTTTCGTTTTCGGGCAGGCGAGATTTTGATTTCCTCAGCTTGCATCACTCAAAGCGAACGGGCGACAGTCGAAAAAAGCAAACCAAACCGATCCGAACCGAACCAAACTGAACCAAACGAACGCCGGGCGTTTTCAATCTAAATGCAAATGCTTGCGGTGTGCTTTTTGTTTCATCCTTGAGCCGCGACAACAGCAACATCAGCATCAGCGAAGCAGCAGCAACATCGGCAGTGGCAACAGCAATTCAGGTGAAATCGCAACACAGAAAGCCAATTAAGCGACTCAGACATTAATCGAAGCTCGTTGCAAATATCGCGTGGTGGTATCTCCCATAAAAAAGAGCAAGGTAAAGACAATTCGCCGTGCTTAATGCAGAAATCGCATTTGGCCAGCAGAGTTCCGTATCATGGCAATTGTGCTTTTTACCGGATTTGCTATGCACTGCAATATTTAGTGGTCATTTATCAGAACTTGCTATTTCAATTGCTTTAAATAGTTCTGATACTTGCAATACAACCTTTAAGATACAGGATATACAATATATACTATATATGTCTTTTTATTTATAATTTAAAATCAATTTTACATTTTATACTGGTTCCCTTTTCGTTCTGTGTAGTCCATTTTCCGTTTCCAATGCACACATACTCGTATGACCATGTTAATACCTATTTCCAATTCAATTGGAAATGTTCATGTTGGCTCCATAGTTTCTATTGCATTAAGGGCCAATAAAAATTTACAAGCAACCTACACGAGAATTTGCCGCCGGGAGGGCTTTTCCTCCGCTTAAGTGTGTTTGACATGAGATAAGCTCGTTTTTGCCGTCTCGCCTCATTTGCCTCGTTTACAGAGGCGAGCGGAGCAAATTGATAAATTATGTCGGACTGGACTGGGCTGTGGACCAGGAATTGCCGGCAATTAGCCAGGCAGAAAACAATTAGCATTATGTGATAAGAGGTACGCAGCACACAATAACATGTCTATCGCAGCGAGGCAATTGAGGCGAAGATCCAAAGAGGCAAAAAGGCGGAGGCGGGGTCAAGGGATTCCATCTGCAATTGAGACGTGTATGGTCAACGAAAGTCTGCACGGCCCAGGAATTCTGGGGGCCCATCGATGCGTATGCAAATCACGGCGAGCACTTTAGCGGCATTAGAATTACAAATATCCAGAGCGGCATTTGCACACCCGTTGGCACAAGGGCAACAGAAAGGCGACGATTCTTCGAAAGCCGCGACGTGACACAAGGCAAACAAAATCGAAGCCTACTCCGGCAGACTCAGATGCCGATTCAAAAATTCACATCCAGCAGCAGGCGCTTGGAAATAGATACAATGTAAATATGCAGAGTCGCGGTAGAGGATACATAAATCAGGGCAGGGCAGGGCAGGGTAGAAAATGTGAAATTAAACGCAAACAGTGGCGAAAACGGCGATGCGGAAGCATAATTGAACTTTGAGCTCGGCAAGATGGAAAATTCTCAGCGCGCAGCCAGGAGCTGCTGCTCCTCCAGACGCTCGCTGCTCTCATTAAAGCCAAATGCAATTTACGCCGATAATTTGCAATAATTTGCATACTACGTGCGGATGCAGCTGCACCTGGACCACTTTGCCCACCCACCAGCCCGCGTTTTCCCATCCAATTTTCCCACCCGCCCACGCGATGCACTCTACGTGCTCGAGCTTTTTAATTGCACGGCTTAGTCGAGGCGCGTTGCCATTTTGTAAATTTCGTTAATTGGAAAATGTGCCGGGATCAGGATTCATTTTCATCTATTTCCCAAATGCCTGGACAGCATGCGTGATCCTCGGCAGCTGGCGAAGTGCACAGTTTCCCCGTGGCCATAGCTCAAACTTAATGCATTTTATTTCGGGCTTAATGGAATTTCCAAATGGTTTTGGCTTTAAGCGAACCGAGTCATTTATCCTGCATGAAGTCTCTTCATTATGCACAAGTTTCCCGCCGAATATTTTGCTAGCTGCCTGACTGTATTTACCCATAATATTTATCCACTTTCGAAGCTCTCCGCGGGGGAAAGCGCAATTGTTCCAGCTTCGGCTGGCTGCAGGATTTATTATGCATAAAATTGCAGCGGAAAGTCAAATAAAATATGTATTGAAAGTTTTATTGTTCGGCATCCCTTTCCAGGCGACTCGCATATTTGCACATGGCACACATTTCATGTGGAACTGAACTGCCGCTCGTGACGCTCCCGGCATTTCGCTTAAAATTGAATTCTTTTTATGCATTTACCTAAATTTCGTTTTTTGTTGCCCGCTTTCTCCGTTCGCCCCACAATTTTATGTACGCAATTTTTTGTTCATCACCCGCCCAGTTTTGCCTTGCTTTGTTCATATTTTGAACTTTGTGCGGGTGTTTTCGGCTGCCTTTTATATTTGCGCTCGTGTATTCTGCTGGATTTCTATTTGCTTTAATAGACCAAACTCTGGACAGGCTTGCCCATGTAGTGCACAGTGGATATGGTATGGTATACTATACATACGTGCCTGCACTGGTTCAGGACCCTACTTTCGGCTTTGCAAATATCCTGCGGCAGCAGCAGCGTTTATATGAGAGCTTACTGCTCTCTTTTGGACGGAAAGGAGGTGCGGAGTGGATTTTGTGATTTGCTTTTTATGTGGGCCATATGGGCACCACCTACGACTGTGGCCACGCACATTTCAGACCTGTTTCGGCTATAAGGCGCCAAGAGGCGCTTAGATTTGACCGGATTGTTGCCAAGGTTGCCGGGACCAAAAATATATATCCGGATAAGAGAACGCTTGGTAAGTGAAAAAGGAAAAGTAGATTTTGTCAATGGATTTCGATAAAGGAAATTAATGTTGAGAAGTAATCCTCACTTGTGTGAAATTCCATAAAGTTAAACACTCCATAAATTCCACAAAAAAAAAAACTGCAGAGATATATTATTTCCAATTTAATTTTCAACAAAACTGGAGCTTGATTATCTTCCTAATTAGTTGACACATTTTCCATTTAAACTTTTGTATTTTTAAGCAAATAAAAAGTGTTAGTAGTTATATTAAATCATAATGTAAAAAAAAAAATAGAATGTTAAATTAGTCTCATAACAAAAAATATTAAAAAAGCCCCGTCTGGATTTGTGTACTTAAAACATTTCTAGAATTCTCTGCTTCTAATGACTTCCCTTGTCTAATTTGCTTTGCTCCTTGAGAACAACAATAATCACAGCATAAATCTCATTTCTCGAGCATCTTTCCGAGAAGTGACCATCAAAACGGCATCCCACTCAAACATGAAAATTTGAAAGGCAAACAAATCTGTCCCATAAGCAAACCCACGCACCAATAGCTGCCAGGGATCTCCAGTCCGGCAGAATGCGAATGGAGCAGTAAGCCAGGACTTACGGCTACAAATCAGAAGGACCAACTCACCCCGCTGCTATTCCGGCGCTTGCTAATCCGAAAGCCAGAGGAACTTTCAAGGCCTGCAACTCTCAGCCGGGCCACTGGCCACCGGCCACTGGCAACTTGTAAGTTTAATTTATGTTTTTGCTTGGCCAACAGGGGGAGGGCAAAAGTTTCGCCGCTCGCAGCTATTGTTCCAATGCACTGACCCGTATTCGGGAAGACGTCTGCATAAACAATTTGTATCTTGTATCTTGTATCTGCTGGATGCTGCACTTTCACTTCGGGCGGCCAACGGACGATGACAATTGTGATAAATTATCCGCCACGCGACTACGAATCGAATCAGAGGGGGTGGTCTATATGCATACTATATACGTATATTGGCCGACGAACTGTTGCGCCCACTCTGGAAGAACGCACAAAATCCCGCACCGCGAACAACACACACAGATACACGCTGACGCTGACCACTACAAATGAAACCGCAGTGTGTTATTGTGTCATTAATTTATCCTCGCTCTTTTCGCTTTATTGTTGGTTTTTTGGCGCTTAAAGTGCGAAAAGTGACTCGAATTAATTGATGATCCGCACGCAACTGAAGAACGTTAATGAGGCGTCGTGACGCGTTCACATTTCCATATGATTTACTTGGTTCTATCTGTTCAACGCGTTTTCCGCAATTCACTTTTCAGTTCGCCCGCTTTTACATTTCCCGCACACTTGGAGATGCCGCTCCTCCGGTTGATTTTCCGCTTTCGGCTGTTATCGCTGATGGTAATCCGCTTTTGCCCTAAATTTCAATTCCTTTATTTCGTTTTTTGCACTGTAGGTTTTTTGGGATTTTTCTCTTCTCGAGTGTTTCGATGGCTGGAGTGTATTATTATTTTCTTATTCCGGCACGTTGTCTTTCTTTTTTTCTATTTGTATTTTCTTTTCTTTTTATATTTTTGGTGGGCGGAAGGGGCGCGGCACACGCAACCTGACGGATGCGCAGCACTCACAGCATTCGAAAGTCACGCACTAATGGTCCGCCGCCGCCTCCTTTTGTTCTAATTAGCCGCATAAATTGCAAGTTGGCTGCGACAGAAAAATCACACCTTCCCGAGAATCCCGACCGAAACGGATCTCTGCAGAGTTGGGACCGCCAGGAATTATATATAGACAATGGTCATGGAGCAGCACCCGCACGACGAACCAAACGCTGTGAGCCACGGATAAGAACTAAACAACAAACGCAGCTGCCGCTGCTCGGCTGCTGCTGCTGCTACAGCGTGTTGTTGCTGCTGTTGCTGGTGTTGCTGCTGCCGCTCGCTGGTGTTGCTGCGGGGCGGCAACACATACGGCATATCATTCACGCTTTTTCACTTCGGGCGGACTTCGTTTACGGCGGTCACGAGTACGGGCGAACCGCTCTCCGGTTCTCAATCTCCCCCATTCATTCGCTCTCGTGTTGCATGTTGCTCGTGTGGCAAACGGCAGCGAGGCGGCAACAGCAACATGCGGCCAAGACGTGACCTTTGGCAACTGGTCGAGTGTTGTTTCGGCTCTCGGGCGCTTGCAGCCAATTAATGGGCCACTCGCCATGTGATTTATCGGCACCTCTCATAAATCCCAGCCCGATTTGGACGCTTCCCGTGGCAGCAGCATAAACAAAAACACATGCATAATTTCCATAAATCTTTTATGGCTGCGTGTAAAAGTTTCGGTTGGGCCAATTATCCGTCCCGAACTAGGCACTAATTTGACAGCAAAATGGGCACAGCCCTTATCCCTCCTTTGGGGTCAGGACAGGTCAACTTTTGGCTCTCCGGGCGCCCCATTCGTGTCCATAACTAACCCCATAATTGAGTTATCCCCCTGGTCGACCGCACAAACGGGCTTTGTTGTTGTCCTGGCCAAGGATTATCAATGGCCTGTGAGCATTTACTATCGCCCGGCGATTACATTGTTCGCATTGCTTAATTTTACTTGGTCTCTTGAGCTGTTGTAAGTCATGATGCATTTATATTAAGCCATTATGGCAAATTGGAAGTGTGCCTTAATACTTTGGATTGTCACGATACTAAGGTATCAATTATATAGTTGCAAATCACGATGCTTTACCTACAGGTATTTAGTTAAAACTTACTTATAAAAACTATTTTGATAAGCATAGGTAATTGCTTGTACAAACAAGTAAATGAAAACGAACTTTAAGCATGTAACTAAAGAAACTTAACATTTGCTCTTTAAGCTTGATATAAAAATAGAATAGCAAATCCTTCTTATATACAGATTAATTTTTCCCACTTAACTCAATTGCCCTTAGGCCCTTGGCAACATGACATTGTCAACAAATTCGTATAAGGCTACACGCAACATGTTGCTTCAACCCACGTCTAATGTAAGCAACATGAGTGTTTCGGCAACATTCAAAATGTTGCTTTCGTTAAGTGTTGCAGAATAAAATTCAAAGCAACATTTGTTGAGGAAATGCTATATGGCAGTGTTTTCCATCTACACGAAAGATTACCAAATTTCCAAACATCCGATTTGGCATACCTCTTAAAGTTTATATATTAATTCTTTAACCAACTGCGTCATTAGATTTTTTTTTATATTTTGGCCCTTTTTTTTATGATCTAATCCCTTTCCAAATTTGCAATAAATGGATTTGCTGAAAATTGACCAAAGCTCACTAGTTCTAAGCCCATAACTTTTCTAATTTTAATTTGATTTCAAAGTGACATAGCTCTAAACGTGTATATTTTAATTTTTTAACCAACTGCAGTATTAGAAAGTTTTTACTTTTCAAGGGCTTATAAGTTCGGCTCGCCGTAGCTAGCTTTTATTCTTGTTAACTACTACTTTACGTTATTTCCAGCAATCACTTGCTAATTTGAAAATAATATTTTGATATAACTTTGAGTATTGTTAAATAAAAACAACTGAAATAGGAAGATAAGAGTTGTATTGTTTTTGATTGTAGCTTGAGTCGCATTTCGTGTATTTTTCGCTATTATGTTTATAATTTCTGTACTGCTTCTCGTTAAACTCAAAATATTCTGAGAGAAGCTACTACCATCGGCTGGCTATGAAAATATTCGCTGTTGCGAAATGGGAACAGATTGTCGCCCATTGCATTGTAATGCAGTTGGCAAGCTGTTGCACCTCTAAGCCACCCAGGGCATTTCGATGGCAGCACGGCCTCCACTTTGCCCGGGGCATTAGCCTTTTTATTCACTGATGTTGCAGCTGGCGCCCGCGGCAACCTTCACACCTATGCACACGGCGCATTGTATGGCCACTTCCACTTGAGCTCTGCAGAAAAGAAAAGCGCAAATAGGATCAAGGATAACAAGGACATAACAAATGCAATGCCGGCGAGTGGCAAGGGAGCATTGTAAATGCTTTTAAAGCAATACTTGATGCCAGCTGATTGAGTGGCAAATGGGCTTTTAACCCAAAAAGGGGAGTTTGTGGCGGGCTTTGCTGGCTAATTGGGGCGTGGCCCCACCCTTCCTTGTTCCTATTTTACACACTTTTCCTTTCCCTTTCTTAAGTCAATACAAACAAATTTCATAACACATTTTTACTCAACCTATTTCGTTGTTAATTTAAATGAAACGTGTCACTGAACCAATTTGTAAATGAAACGTCTGAAAAAGCATGAACCGAGCATAAAGATAATATAATATATTTCCTTTTTCAATTATTATGGGAAGGGTCTTATTATAATGTAAGTTAAAATCCAGCTAATAAATCATAATTTAAGAAATTTATTTTCTGTGTGGCTATGACATTTGTGCATTTGTCTTGATGCTGCAGTGAATATTTGTTTCCCGGGTGAAAAAACTTTGCTTATTTCATTTTAATTGCTTCACAGTCGCAGGACTCGGCACACACACATGCACATGCATAGCAAATAACTCTCACAGTCAACTGCGGTTGTGTGCGAAACCCCTGTGTGGGTGTGTGCTCATTAAAAAGCGAGGCAGCTACGCAGAAAAGCGACATTTGCATAAAATTTCAGTGTGCGTATGTATGTGTGTCTGTGTGTGTGGAGGGAAAATGCTACCGAGAGCTGAAAAAGCGTGCCACTGACACACAACTGTCACTCACACTGGCTGAGAAACAGACAAAGCCAAGTCAAAACTTGCAAATTTTAATGCATCACAAGATTTCAACCACTTCCTATGTCTCACAAGCCGAGAAATCATCACCAGCAGGCTCGCAGCTTGACGCCGAAAATAAAGAAAATCTCCAACTGTCATGTCACGTGCCCCTGGTCCTCCCACCCCCGCTTACCCTCCCCCTCCCCACCACTTTCGTCCCACTCTCTTGGCCAAATCTGTTGAGGGCTCATTAAAAGCGGCTGCCGTTTTGGCCTAGGGGCAACTCTTCGCTTCTGTTCTAATGAAGTTTTCCTCAAAAGGGTAGCTGTAGTTCCCTTTAATCGGTTCGAGCCCCCTCATTCCAAAGGTTAGGAAACACTACTCTGTGATGGCTGCCGTTAAATTGTCGTTTCCTTTTTTACGCACCAAACTACGCAAATGATTGACAGCTGGACATTGTGGCTGAGTGAATAACTCACAGGCCGACAGGCTGGCTGGCCGCTTGATTTATGGGGGCGTGCCCCGGACAGCCGTGCTTTGGCGCTCAATTAATGCGGAACCAAAGTCAAAAGTCACCGAAGACGACCGCTTGTTTGGCAGTCGTGTGGTCCTCCCGGCGATGGATTAACACATCTCCGGGGGCAACGGCGACAACCCTCGTGGCAAGGTCTTTGTCTTGCGACGGAGGCTGGCCGTCATATAAATCAACCATAATCAACGCGAAATGCGGCTTGACTTGCTATAGATGGACTCCGATACCAGCCTAGATAAGCTACACTTGGCAGAAATGAGTCACGCTACCGATTTGATATTAACTTCTAGTCAAAATATGTCACAACAATGATGAGTTTTTATCAACATAGAACAGAATTGTATTGCTTGTTACACTTTTAGCTCTTTTGGGGCTATGAGAATTGTAACTAGAATTTAAGTTAAAAAGTTAAGCTACTCTGTAATTTTTCTCTGTGTGCACGAGAGGGTGAAAGAGGCCGCGGGGCGCATAAATCTAAATTACACCGAAGCACCAGGGGAATTGTGGCCCAGAACTATGAGGGAAAGTCGGCTCAAGATCCGAATCTCCCCCGAATGATAGATAGAAAGTGAGAGGAAATTGCCGGCACTCGTTTGCTTTGTTTGTTTGCTTGTTCGGAATGTTTCCTAATCGGCCAAGGAGTCGTTCACACCTCCCCGCATGAGGGTTCCTTAATTGCAAGTTATTGATGAGCCCCCATCCCCCAAAAATGGCCCACTAAACATTCAATTTTCAGAAACACAACAGCCCAACAAGCGAACACCTTTGGCAGTGTGGGAAAGAAATCTGGTAATATGAACTGTCAGCAAAATGAACCTTATGAAAAGTCATTGACAGGAGCAGCACAACAACAACAACAGCAGCAGCAACAACAACAACAGGAGGCGGCAGGATGATCCTGTGCCCAGGTCCTTCAATAGGTGCGTGTGGGCGTCAACGGCAAAAAGTGAGATGCAGAGCAGGGTTTTCCGTGCGAGAGCAAAGGAAAAACGAGGAAAACAGTCAGTGAGAGGTAGACAGAATCTCATTTGTGGTTATGTTGGCGTGTCAAAAGCGGACAACAATGACAACCTCAGGAGCAGAAACCAGAGCGGCAACAACAAGGTTGTCGGGCTCTTCCACACCATATGGCCACCATTTGCCTGCACATTATAAAAAAGGAGGAACCAAGTCGGAAACACGGCCAGGGGATCAATGAACTCGATATACCCTCTCTTAACAATCCACTGATGACGCACTCTAATTTAAAGATAACTATCTATCAAAATATTTTGGGGGTATACAAAAGGTCCGCTGATTGGTGGTTTCTTTTTTAAAGCCAGTATATTAATATTGGTTTTTGTTAATAAGATATTTTAGGTAAAATTCATGTTTCATAAAAATAAATACATAAATAAAATAAATAAAAAATTTGGTTAGTATTATATTCATTTCCAAATCGAGTTTCCCCATTTTGGCTTTAAATTAAATCCACTGCAGACAAGATTCACTGCGTTCATTGTTTTAGCCGTCTGCCAGTGAATTTTATTTCCATCGCCATATTGATTTTATAATTTCCAAAGTGTTCATAATTAGCCACGCCCCTGTTCGAACACCGCCCTGCCACAAACTCAGCTCCGTCTGACGTGTCAGAGACATGCAATTTGGACCATTCAAAACCGAGTCTTTTTGGCCCGTTGATTGGACAGCGCCAAATCGAGCTCATCCGCAGATGTATCTGTTAGCGGGTGGTGTCTGTACCTGCCATCGAGTGTGTCTGAGTGCCCGAGAGCGGCATTGTTCGGCGGATCCTTTTCGTCCTTTGTGCCGATGCCATGCTGTTCGTAATTATAAATGTCAATGCCAATTGTAAGCGACCTTTCCCGATAATTTCACACTTTTCAAACGGAAAAACGACTGTGTGCGCCTTGCTGTGTGATGGTGAGTTGAAGTGTGTGTGTATATGTGTATGTGCGTGATGCTCATTAGCCGCAAAACTCTCGCAATGCAGTTGGCTAATTGAAAACGCGCGCCTAATTACCGATAATTGATCAGCTTACGAATGGAGTTGGCTGCAACACAGCTGGCCGATGACCAACTCTGAATGGTGGCTGACCTTTCACCCTGCGTGTCCTGCTCGCATCAGCGGCGGCCCATTAGTGCTGCCCCGCTCGTCCTGCGAGTCCTTCGAGTCCAGGGCCTTTGTCAAACAGGACAACAATACGACGGCAAAAGTGCGACCCTTCCTGCCAGCATTTTCAAGTGTTTATTCCTGGACACTTCAGGTCTCTCTCTCCCTACAAAGTGTACAATGCGAGGTGTGAAGTTTGTTTATGGTCAAGTGGTTTGCTTTCCTTTTTTGTTGCCAGTTTGTTGTTGTTTTTTTTTTTGCCACGGGCGCTGAGCAGCAGGCTCGCCAGTTGTTTGCAGGACACTAATGACCACTCGGATCTTATCTGACACTGCTTGTTGATCTTGGCCCAAACCACGCCTACTTTGTTTGCCCAGAACTCCTTGCCCCCTCACTGCAAACATTGAATTTTATAGTGCGGAATCGCTGGCCGCGAATAATTTTGCATATGCTGGCCATAAATAAAAGTTTGGGCCACTGGTGGGTGCATGTTGCGGTTTGGCAGGATCGAAAGTTGCACCGAAATTCCATGGTGGTTGCGTTTACAAAACCAGAACCAGTGCATGAAACCTCCTCAAGCAAAGAGCTTAATTAAATATATGTACAAGAAACATCCTCTGGCAAACAACAAACTTTCAAAATGGTGAAACAAACTCATATTTTTTAAAAGCATTCTACCAAAACAACCGCTGCGCAAATAACAGGTTAAATCATTAAATCTAAACATTGAAAAGTTTCATTTAAAACACAAAATAATGTTTTGATATCGAACTCCAACTGTTTAACCAGCTAAAACAATTTACTGTCTAATTTACTTTACTAATATAAAGTTTTTAAATACTTCTATATGAAATTACACTTAAAACTATAACCATTTTCATGCAAAATAAGCCCCTAAATATGAAATAGTTTGTGATAATTGAATCCTTGGCTTTTATGAAAAATTGTAAAAACTAATCTTTAATTTACCAGACCGCTCAGCTTTTGCTGCAGATACATGTGCTTCCGATGCCACAAAAATTCGGGATGCTGCAAAACTTTATATGTCCGACTTGTGCTCACTCAGCGATATTGCTGAAAAATAACTGAAACACTGTCAGCGCAAACAACAAAATCAACTATCCTGCAGATCCGAACAAAAAGTTACTCCCACTGCCAGCCATACAGAAAATCATCGAAAAAGTGATGCCACGAAAGCTGGCAAAACGCACTTTATTACGACGAAATGTTTCAAACATTTTGAAGTGAGTGGACTTAATTCGTGTACACAACACCAGCGTCCGTTGGCTGGCGTGTTTTCTATTCCTCTAAAGGACCAAACTCCGGCTGCCACGCCCCCTCAGAATTTACAGGATGGCACACGGCTTGAAAAAGTGGGAGTGCATTTCCCAGCCAGGGAATTTCGATTGGCAACATTTTTGCGTACCTTTCCCGACTGCCTGGCAATTTTGTATGTGCGTGCCTGCACAGAGAAAAAATTCAACATAATATTGCTATGAACATTTTTACAGATTAAGCAATGTCAAGCAATAAAAATCATTTTTTAGCTACAGAAATTCTATTCAGGATCGTATTTTTAAATGGTGTTTTTGATTTTTTTACTATTCACTTTGGTTGTAAACTTTTTTTTTACGTCTGGGTTAACTATTTCAATACATTTATAAGAGCAATTATTTCTGGCTTATGCTGCAAAATCGGATATCAACATTTCCTCTCTGTGCACCTGCATCGATTCGAAAGTGTGTGTATGGAAAGCATGTCTCTGTGTGTGCGCTTCGCAATCTTCAATAAAATTGTTTCGGCTTTTATTTTTGGCTACGCTTTTCATTTGTTTAAAACGCAAACTATTGTGAAAGGCAACAAAGACACAAGAATCGAGCGAGACAGAGCTAGTATCACCTATACCACTCTATGGCCACGCACACGCTTTTATGCCCTTCGGGGATTTCCCCCAATGCCGATCCCCCGCCAGCCTTGCAAACTCCCACTTTCCCCCACCCCACCTTCCATTCAAACCCCCTTCCTTGGTGGGCACAACATTGTTGCTCTTTTTAACGCTTTTGCAATTGCGCATTGTATTTGTTGGAATTTTCTCCTTTTTTTCCCTGTATTTCCCTCGATTTTGTTTTTGTTTTTTGCTCTGAATGGACCGCCGGTAAGGGGGTTTTCCGATGGAGGGGGCGGTTGGCGCTCAGTTGCGGGTTTTCAGGGCGGCCACTTTATTTTCATAGCCGCCTCTTTCACAGCCGCATAAAATGCAACAACAGCAAATTGGAATGTGTAACCGCAACTCGTAGTTAATTTTATTTATTCCCAGCTCGCCTTTTTTTTTTTTAAGCCCGCTACCCTCGTTCCGCGGCACTCGGCACTCGGCCTTTTTTAATTGTCCTTCAACAGCGCTTTAAAGCCGGCAACAACGAATTCTGGCCAGGATGAGTACGTGTGGGTGTGTGTGTGTGTGTGTGTGAGCGCGATTCGTGGTATCTGTCCATTCGTCAATATGATTTAGGGACGGGGAAACAACTCGGCAATAACATAAATTAGGCAAATGCTGCAGATAAATTAGCAGAACCCAAAACAATTTTACGGACTCCTGTCACAAAGTGCAGCCAACGAGAACCGGAGGATCTGGACATTTGTTACTGTCCTTACCGAATAACTCATAAATGCAGTAATCCGGGGGCGGGTTGGGATCCTTTGGAATGGGTAAAGTGTGGACTGGATTCGACAGCTGGCCCTGCGTGCAGTTGGCCCATAAAGCGGGACCAGACAAAACGCAACCCCTCGGGCCCAGTTACAGATATTCAGATGCACGGCTGCAGATACAGATACAAATACAGATACGGATGCAGATACAGAAGCATTTGCAGGGCAGTCCGCTGGGCGCCTCGATATTAATTGCAATATTTGCCGCTGGCGATAATGCAATGTTTGCCGGTTCGATTTCAAGGACATGCATTATGCGTATGCGCCCAACTAATCGTTTTGCCTGTTGTTCAACATAATCACTGCCACATTAATTACAAAATGCGCCAGCTGCCGCAGTGAAATATGGAGGGCAGGTGTGTGTGTTCCGCCCACGGGAGTTCCATCCGAGGGCTAGGACCATGGCATCCAGGGAACGCTTGGTAACTGCTGTTATTTAAAATCATTTCGCTGCAGGCCAACTTCCGTGGATGGAAACGGACTGGGACGTGTTGGGCCATCCTTTCCGCCAGTGCAACGGAAGCACTGCAAACGTTGCCAAGGAATATTTATTGACCAAGGGCAGGACCCAAAAATGAGCGATTGTGAGCCATTATTTAAAGCTCTTACCAATAAGCCCATTGAGAGTATCGATTCCTAACAATAATGAAATTAAATTAATCTAATTCTATGTCGGAATTCTTATTTTTAAACACACTTAATTGAAAACGCATACTTACTCACACTTACTTCTAAGTTATTTATTAATTGTAGAAACAAAAAGAACTACCATCTGCTAAAAAGGAAAGTGTTAAATGAAATTACATCTTCTTTAGGTATTCAGTAATAAATGTAATAACTGTTGTTTTAGCTTTTTGTTTGCCTAACGTTAGAACCACTGAATAATTTCTGTGTTTCCTAAACAAAAAGAGGAATTGCCTTGGAAAGCCATAACTTGCATAGCTGGGCACTTACAAAATTGCGCATAAAAATATTTCTAGAATTTATAATTAACAGATTCCCATGCGCTCGTGCAGACCTTGCACTGTGGCTTCTTCAGAAAGGCCCTGTCATTTTGTTGAGCCATCTAGGGGCTTCCTGTGGCCCTGACAATTGAGTGATGGGGAGATCGCCTCAGAGACAAAGGGAAGGGCAATCAATTTAAGCAGATTGCATGAGGCGGCATTCTTAAAGAGGTTCTCTTAAGCTCGAAGGCCGTGGAAGTCAGGTTGGACACCTGTTGGCCCGCCGTAAAGATACACTTACTATGACTTCTGGCCAACTCAATCGTGCTTGGCCACGTTGCATCTCCTGTGACTCGTACTTTGCAATCGTTGTTGCCTCCGGGGGTTGCAAGTTGGCCGGGGCCAGGGGTCGTGGGTCAGAAGGACCTCCTGATGGCCGCTATTCAATTTTTAATCGATCTGTGCAAATAGTCCCTCCGTTCGATTGTCCCTGGCCGCGTTCGTGTGGACAGCTGGCTTGGGTCGCCAATGTGTGACGGTCGCAGAGCAGCTGCAGCAGCGCTTTATGCCCGAATTACGCTCGATTTATGTTTATCTCTGAATTTACGAACCTGCATGTTGCCCCGCGTCCAATACCAATACCAATACCACTGCCAAAGCTGGAGAGTCCTGTTCGGCACAGTCCGACACATACAAATTTCAACTTTAAGACTTTAACGTCACGGAAAAAAGGTTTTCGGGTGATACGTTTTAAGTGCTTATTAAAAGTCAATATGAAAATAATTGAAATTTTACTTAATGCTTGAAAATAAAACCTTATTACTTAAAACCGAAATGAATGCTGCTGCCCTATCAAAAATAAAAATCGTGTTATTCCAATAACCGTTCCTAGAGAAATTTTTAAATTCACTTAAATTGCTTGTTATACATTTTCCTTAATTTAATCGAACGTTTGCCCTCGGAAATGCTGGCTTTGAATTTGGATTGCTAGTCAGAGGTCAAATGAATTGTATATCATCGATGCAGTTGTCTACGAAATAAATGCTACTTGGATTATCTTATGAACAATCCCTGTATATTCAAAAATTAAAATTAACGAAAGGCAACGGAATTCCGCGTTTCTTCTCGAGTTTCTGCAGGGTATTTGGTGGTGCCTGAATTCAGTGAGCTCCTGGAAATCTCTTCATTCATTGTACACACACACCATACCACACCCATGTTGTTTGGTGCCATTTGTGGGCATTGATTTGGCTTGGCGGTTTGGTTTGGTTTGGTTTCGTTTCATTCGATTCGATTCGATCCGTTGTTGCTGGTTGGTTTTGGTTTCTGCTCCATTCGGTGGAGAGCTCCACTTCTTTTTTTCACATTTTTATTGCGTTCGCCAGGCTGGCTGGTCGTTCATTTTGAGTAAAGTCCAGTTTATTGCAAAATGAAATGCGGCAATTCCAGGCTCGCTTTCACCTTTCCACTTGTTCCCCCTGAAAACTCATGTTCACTGCGAGCTCTTTCACTCGCGAATCGAGAATCGCCCACTGATTTCAGCTGAATTTTTCATTCTACTCGATGTTTGCTAATTGCTGTTTTGTATTTATCATTCACCTCAGTTGTTTTTGTTTTGATTGACTTATTTTTCGACGGCTAATTGCGACGATTTAGTCTGCTGTTGCCAATAAATCCCCAGCGGAGCTGGTAATGGAATTGAATTAGTAACAGGAGGCTGCCATGGAGCCTAGCGCAAAGTTTTTGCCCTGAAATCAATACGTGTGAAAACAAAAGCAATTCGAGAGCTGGAAAACAATGGGCCATATAAGAGGGATTACACACAAGAAAAGCGCATTCAAGGCAACTTGTACGTGATTCCGTGCGGAAGTTAAAAATGTTTGCTCGCCGACTATGCCGACTAACTTTTCTCGCACATAAAACCGGAAATGGGAAAATCCGAGGGAACATTTTCCAGCGCTGCCACGACAGCGTTCAAATGCAATTAATTAATTGCATTCCAGTTTGTGCATTCGCAGCCAACTTTCATATTGTGGCGAGTTTTCAATTGTTTCTAATGCGCCGCGCTCACGCATATCAACTCTAGTTTTAAGCATTATGCCTAATTTCGTGCGATTTTTATGGGACCCTTACATGGCATCTAGACATTTTCGAATAAAGTATCCATCTGATGACTCTACAAATGCGGGTCGCATCGCATTCGCATAATTAAGCCGTAAAAGTAATTGACGCTTAAGTGGCCAACTTTTGAGCATAACTCACTGACCAACTGAACCCGACAGAAGACACAATATCGACTTGGACCCACATTTGGCACATCATTTTGCTCAATCATAACAATAAAATCAA